CCCTGAGTTTGCCACCCGCACATCTTTACCCAACATGGCAAATCTGTTTGGGTGCTCAAACCCAGGGCTGGCCTTATTTTCAGTGAGCTCCTACTACTCCCTCTTGGTACAGTAACCCATTTTCCTACCTGATAATCATGACTAGTCCCTCCACTCTCCACATCAATCCCATTAGCTACCTGCTAAAGGTTGTCGGTTCTGCCCAGTGTTGCAACTTTCTCTTCCAGATCTCTAACGTGAGCTTTCAGAAGGGCAACCTGCTCAAATCTGTCACAGTGGTATCCATTCTGGAACTGTTGCTCTATTGTTGCATACATGCCGCACACTGTGCACTGCACAAAACCTTCCAGCCTGCTAGCTCTCATTATCCCAGTTACAATATTATTACTAACAGGAAATATCAGATGTCACTTACAGGTTAGTAGACTCCTGTTATAATCTACTGTTTAACTCCTTTTTTTTTAATCAAAGGTCCACTTAGTCAAAGGTCCAGCAAGCAAAATACAGGCAAGCTCAGAGTGAGCTCTAAAGAAAGTTATATAGTACCCGTAACACCGCAACCAATTAACCCATCCCCTTGATTAGCAGAAAGGAAAGTAAAAAAAATGCTATTTAAAAAGTGACAGAAAAAGTGATTTGAAAAAGTAAAAGCTGCTAGCAAGATCCCAAAGAAGAAAATAAAACAACTACAAGCACCAGCTATCACCAGCAATCAAAAGCAAAACTGTTTTTCACCCTCAAACTCAAATCTCCCACTCTTTTCAGCTTCCAGCCAGCAAAATGTGCTATACACAAATGTGTGCTCTACAAGAAGTTATATAGTACCTGGAGCACCTGTGACCAATTAAGCCCTCCCCTTAATCAGCAGACTGAAGGAAGGAAAGGAAAAAAAAATGCTATTTAACCACCCTAGCGGTATTCCCGAGTGTAGCTCGGGGTAAAATGTCTGTACCAAAAGTGGTAACCCCGAGCTACACTCGGGCTTACCATGCAGCGCTGCATAGGGAGTCCCTGCAGCACTTACCTTGTCCTTCGATCCCGCGATGTGTCCCCTGCAGCGTCCCAGGCCATCTCCTCCGGCTGATGCCGGCATCCGGCTTCTGTGTTCCAGACCCTGTGACGTCGGGACGTACGGGCGCCGGCGGCGGCGGGAAATTTGAAAAATTTAAAAAAAGTCATTTTTTTCAAAACGATTTTTCATAGTAAAACATTGCTGTTTCAACCCATTTCACATACATTTTGTCCCTAGTGCTTTGTCCTGTCCCCTGTCTGCATTTTGAATGTTCTTTCTGCCTGGAAACATCAAAAAGTGTCCCTTTAGGTCAAAAGCGGGTTTAGATCAGCTAGAGAACAGCAATAGTAAATCAGAACCACTTGCAGAATTGAGTGATAATGATTCGTGGAGAAATTCGTCATCAGACACTGAAAACAATTTTGCGACTTTGCTCAGCAATGTGCGAACTTGGCGCTATATTTCAAATTTCAGTGTTTTTGGTTTGATTATATTATTGAATTAAATGTAATATTATTATATTATTATTTTTTATGATTATTTATTAAATTATAATTTATGATTTTGTGTTTCAAATTTTATCATACCCGGGATTGTAAATAGACTCTTGTTCGGACAGATTTCAGTGAGTTATTCCTAAATATTACAGCCTACAATAAAAAAACTACGTATTTCCATGCAGAATAATGGTACCGCTTTCAGCACCAAAAATCTGAAATAATCATACCGCTAGGGAGGTTAAAAAGTGACAGAAAAAGTGATTTAAAAAAGTAAAAGCTGCTAGCAAGATCCCAAAGAAGAAAAAGAACAAATACAAGCAGCAGCAATGACCAGCAGCATGGTGAAAGTGTCCAGTATTGAAGTGTTTAATTTGTTTAAAAAAATGTCTATAATGTTTAGTCTTGCATGCTGTGTAATTATGTATTTGATCAAATTAACAAATCTGGATTAGAAATTAACAGTTATTTTGCAAAGCACACCTTGGCTCTGTCAACCTTGTCCTTCACACTGTTCATTTTGACAAGTTAGTTGTGAATGATATGACTCCAGGTTTGACACAAAACTCATCTACCCCCCCCCCCCCCCCCCCCCCCCCCCCCCCCCCCCCCCCGTACTATGACATGATGCTCTAGGTCTTCTTCTTTACTTCTTTGGTGGGTGCTTATTACTACTGTACTGAACTGTATTCACATGTTAGAGGATCTGCTGATTTTAATCAAAAATTATATGCTAAAGGTACATTTTTTGCACTGATTGCTTTGTCACATTAAAGTATTTCTTACCCCAAAATTTCATATTTTCGTGTCTGTTGTACCATGTACTTGTGTTAAAAAGTATCCTGTTCTCTTTACATTGCTTTCTTTGTGTGAAATACCTGGTGATCTTGGCAGTTTCCCTGCTTTTCTATTTCAAGCTGACCATGCTAGTCCATTGAAGCTCATCCATCCCAGTGTGGTCAGTTTTGAGAGCACTGCCTGCATGTTTTCCAATGGTCAGACTTGTGCTGACTCGCCCCCCCTGCACAGCCATTCACTGTGATCCATGTACTGCTCTTTCTCTGTCTCCTGCTTGCATACCCCCTGCAAACTCTACCCTCACCTCTCCAAGCCTCTTATGCAGCTGAGAACAGATGGACACAAATTTAAAAAAAAAGTATAATTTTTTTATATCTATACAGAATTGTTTTGCCTTAATATTTTAAGTACGGGCCCACTTTAAGAAATCTACAAAATTAGCATGTACAAATTTTCATTACTACACTTAATATTTTATTTAACGTCTCACGAATATTCTACTTTTCTTCCTCCATTAGTTTACTTTGCAGTTTTCCTGATGTGAGTTACCAAGTGGTGATGAGATAATTAGCTTTTTTCAACGTGGTAATTAATTGTTACATGCAGTGCAAGAAATTTATTGGATTAAAACAACTGGGATATGCATTTTTATTATCCAAAATGAATTCTCTGTTGTTGCTTCTCATATCTGCTTCAGATGTTATATTTAACTTGATATGCTAGGCATTAGCCTGCATGTACTGTATTGTCTCAGTTGGCCTTAGGGGTCTGTAGTCTAAACGTAGGAGGAATTACTTATAATATAACCACTGAACAGAACAGAACGCATTGTCTTCTGTTCCATTTGGGTTTGGACATGTAATACACATTTTAAAACCATCAAAATATGAATGAAAAAAAAACCCCATGTAAAAGATCATCCCTGCAAGTATATTTTTGCATTGTGCAAATCCTTGTTCCTGCGTTGACCATGGTAATGCAGCATCAGTTGCCATGCATCAACATCAAGGTAAGACATTTTTTACATGTGGTTTGCTTGGCCTATATAAAAGCCTCCATACTTCCTCGCAGTAAAAAAGGGTAATTGATGTGCAAGGTCAAGGTTGTTTTCTGAACAAGGTGAGCTTGTGTGCAAGATCATACATTGGACCCCCTTTTGTGAGCAAAATAAACTGTGCAAATGGGCAAAAAGAACGTGGTTTGCATCGTGCTGATAATTTGGTGTGGCTCAAACTGTCTGAGCAACTTGTATAGTATTGAATGGGTGCTGGAAATTGTGATGGTTGTGGGCAATCCAAGAATGTAAACAGTATGTTTTTATTTGGTTGTATATTATGCTCCTATTTTGCCCAGGAGGAGCCATTAGTCATGTATGCAGGCCTATTATTCATTAGATTAAGGGCAGTGGATACAGCAGCCAATGAAAGCATTATTCTAGACCTCACAACATTTTAGGGACCAACAAAGAAGTAAAAATAAATAGATTTTAGCCACAAGCATCTTTCTTATATTTTTCAGCAATTTAAACAAATCTGTACACTTTTACCTCTTTCACTAATGGTCCTGTAATTTCTTTCTTGGGCTGTTAAACAGGGTTCTGCTCATGGACTGAGTATTTTATTCATTGCATGAATCTCGACAGTGTGGTGCTGGTGTCTGCAAATTGATTTAAATTGAATCCCCAATCATGGTGTGCAGTGAGTGAGAGCACAGCGTGCCAAGGCACTTATATAGCCAACACACATGAAGGATATACCACTGTGCAAAATACATAACCTTAAGCAGATGTGGAGGCAGCAGAGATGTTCAACTTGCTTTTATAGTTACAACATTTACAGGCAAGAAAAAGTAATTGTGAAACAGACAAAATAAATGATATACAGTATGTAATATTACATGACAGCTGTAAACAGATAACAGAATTAAACAGATAAAAATAAATTTCAGGGTCAACAGCAAGCACTCAGGGGTAGACACATTGCCTATGGTGCAAGAACCCTGAAATGAAACTGATCTCTATGCTTGTATGGTACTACATAAGGTAAATGCTTATTGAAGAACAGAGACACTGTGGGCCTTAACTTTGTTTTTGCATATGCATGTTATTAGCAACAGACCTGAATGTTTCTGCTTGGGCACATGGCAATTTACTTATGTTTGGTAATAGTTATTTGCTTGTATGTATGCAGTCTATAGATAGATATTTTAGACTTAACTTTAAATAGGCACAGGATAGCAGAGCAGCTCCAACAACAATTTAAACTGGTGATCTGAGTGGTTTCTGCTAGTCCAGGCAACTTTAGAACTGCTGGCTCTCTGTGACAAGGGGGGCCCAACACTAAACCCAGGAGCAGAAACAATCAGCTCCAAGACTTCAGGTGTGCTACACAGCACTCCATACGAGCCCCTTTAGCAGATCACTGTGAACACAATACTTTCACATTGTGTCTACATTCAGAAGAATGTGGCATCACAAGTGAAGTCACGTCACTTTCTCTGAATGCAGAAGCTGGGACAGAGCTGTTTCAGTTATTTCCAACCTCTTGCTGCAGTGATAGATCACTGCTATAGTGATTTATTGCTTGCTGATTGCAGAGAGTAATATTAGAAGGGATCTGTTGCTGCACATCTGCACAGTGGTGAAGATATATAATATGTTGTACATTAGTCTAGATTTCAAATGCAAAAGGTATATTGTGCAAAGTAACCAGGGGCGGACTGACAACTCATGGGGCCCCCCGGGCAATAAGGGATCATGGGGCCCCTGTGTCCTTACCCAAACTCAAAAAAGCCTATGAAAAAGGTACCAGGGGCATCTCATGGTGCCCCCTACTGACCCCGGGCCCTCGGGCAGTGCCCAAGTTTCCAAATGGTCAGTCCGCCCCTGAAAGTAACACATCATCATTGAAATAGGAAGGCCTGAGGACTTAAGGGAGTAAGCATAAGTAAAATAATAGCATGCTTTATCACTCAGCTTCAGGTAAAAAAAAGCTATGTAGAATATAAATGAATGATATCATCTTTTTTGATGCAAGAGAAAAAACTGTCTTTAAAAAAAAAAAATACAGTTTCTGGCCATTCATCCAGCTCAGCAGGGAGCAGCCAAGATTCGATTGATGTATGGGCAGGTTGATTGTACCCAAGCTTATCCACCAATCGACTTGGGTACAACCAACCTGTAGGATTTTTATACATTCAATTACTGCCAGCGGCTATAGCCGCTAGCAGTAATAAAGGTACTCCGCTGGCCAGGAAGTTTCCCAGACCCCCTGCGGGAGAACACAATAGTGCGGGAGGAATTCCCTCCAACACAGACTATGTTGAAAAGAGCTATTTTGCAATGAAGAATGGGCAAATAGTTCACTCTCAAGATGTACAAAGCTGGTAGAGACATATCCAAAAAGACTTGCAGCTGTAATTGCAGTGAAAGGTGATTCTACAAAGTATTGACTCTGAATACAAATGCACACCAAACTTTTCAGGTATTTATTTGTAAAACATGTTGAAAACCATTTGTCATTTTCCTTCCACTTTACAATTATATGCCACTTTGTGTTGGTCCATACATAAAATCCCAATGAAATACATTCACGTTTTTGGTTGTAACATGACAAAATGTGGAAAATTTCAAGGGGTATGAATACTTTTCCAAGGCACTCTGTGTCAAAGAATATGTAATACCTTTCAGCCTGTTGTGTGATCCAGACTGTACACCCAGAACCTTGACCTCTGTTGTAGAAGCACAGCTAGGTCAAAAGATCAATCCTACCTGCTGAATAACTGTGAAGGAGAAGCTGCACATTGATAAAATCATCCTTCTGGACATTTGTGTTTGTCCACCGGGCAGCATACTCCTCGTACACCTGAACTGCAGCAGAGCTTGGTCAACCCCTAGAGCTGAAAATAAAAATGATTTGTTGAAAGAAGCAGTATATCAGACTGTGTGTGTTTCCTTTTAATAACAAGGTTAAAACTTTTATATCTTAGAATCAGGATTGTGTACTTTTTCATTACTATATTTCAAAGGACTTTTTCAGCTATCAATATCAGGAAGCAGAAGAACATTTTCTTCTACATCATTCTTATCATTCTGGTTACTTTGAGCAACTTTATCTAATGATATACATTAGCAGAACTGTAGATTGAAATCTTCATTGGCTAAATTAATTCATTGTTGACTTGCTATCTAGAACTAACCTTTCAAGATTAAGTGCTGTCAAAAAAAACTATATGTTCGTTATCTGTGTGAGATTAAAAACAAACTGTACATTCAGACCATCCTGAAATGTTTAACTTTTTTGGTACTTTTAAACTGTATTAAAAAAAAGTCTATACAGTTTTTCAGCTAGTTTGAAATAGTGGCCATAGACATTACATGACAGTCCCCTAATTCATTTAGTTTTGCCCAAAAATCTATTGTCTGTGCAACACTCCGTTTTTTCCTATGTGAAAAGATGTTGCTCGAGCTGCCTTCTTGCCAGAAAAAACTATTTTAAGCAACAGACAGCATGGATGCATGAAAGACAGAATTTGTAAAAGAAATCTGATTTCTTTTTATGAGGAGGTGAGTAAAACCTTGGACAGAGGGGTGGCAGCAGGGGCGGACTGACCATTTGGAAACTCGGGCACTGCCCGAGGGCCCGGGGTCAGTAGGGGGCCCCATGAGATGCCCCTGCTACCTTTTTCATAGGCTTTTTTGAGTTTGGGCAAGGACACAGGGGCCCCTTGATCCCCTATTGCCTGGGGGCCCCATGAGTTGTCAGTCCGCCCCTGGGTGGCAGTGGACGTGGTATACTTGGATTGGATTTTGCAAAAGCGTTTGACACAGTTCCCCACACACAGCTAATGTGTAAGGTAAAGTCTACAGGCCTGGAAAAATTGTTATGTAAATGGATAGAAAACTGGCTAAAAGATTGTATTCAGAGAGTAGTGGTTAATGATTCATACTCTGAATAGTCTAGGGTTGTTAGTGGTGTACCCCAAGGTTCAGTGTTGGAACCCTTATTTTTTAATATGTTTATAAACGATATAGGGTCTGGGATTATTGATACCATTTCAGTCTTTGTAGATGACACCAAGCTGTGCAGTGGAATAACATCCTTACAGGATGTCTCCAATTTACGAGCCGACCTCAGTGCACTGTTTAATTGGGCAACTATGTGGCAAATGAGGTTTAATGTTGATAAATGTGAGGTTATGCATTTGGGGGTTAAGAATATGCATGCACCATACATACTAGGGGAAGTACAACTGGGGGAATCCAATTTCATCTCGGGGGATCAAGAAGGAATTTTTTACACTGCATGAGCAAATTGGATCATGCTTTGCTGGGTTTTTTTGCCTTCCTCTGGATCAATTGTGGGTATAGGATTATATATAATATATATATATTTTTTTGGTTGAACTGGATGGACTTTTTTCAGTCAGACTAACTATGTACAGTATATGTAAGTATGTACTGTTGCCCTAAGCTCCTAGCGCTCAGACTGTTCCTATGTAGAGAGTAATCTGGTGCAAATGACATTGTGAGATGGTCGGATTATACCTGTGCGATTACAACATTCAAAGAAATGTATGGGCAGCATAAAGTGAAAATATAGTGAATTATCAGTGAGTACTTGTTATTTTAATTATCTGAAGGTTATACATACAGAGAAAGGCTTTCAGCAGTACCTTAACCACATGCCGCCCAGCCACTGTAGAAATACGGCGGCAGGGCGGCACAGCTGGGCAAAACCACGTTTTAAAGCTCAATTTGTGGGAAAAAAAATGGATGTAAATTTTATTTATGTACCGTATTGCATGGCCGCGCAATTGTCCGTTAAACTAGCGCAGCGCTGTATAGCAAAAAAAAATGGCGTAAATTGCAGTATCTATACCATAGTTTGTAGACGCTATAACTTTCACACAAAGCAATCAATATACACTTATTGGGATTTTTTTTTACCAAAAACATGTAGCAGAATACATTTTGGCCTAAATTTATAACTAACTTTGAGTTTACTATATATTTTTTATAGCTGAAAGTAAAAAATTTTGTTTTTCTTAAAAATTTTTGGTCTTTTTTTGTTTATAGCGTGAAAAATAAAAAGCGCACAGGTGATCAAATACCACTGAAAGAAAGCTCTATTTGTGTGAAAAAAGGACGTAAATTTCATTTGGAAGCAACATTGCATGACCGCGCAATTATCAGTTGAATTAGTGCAGCGCCGAGTAGCAAAAAGAGGCCTGGTCATTAAGGGGGGTAAATCCTTAGGAGGGCAAGTGGTTAAATTAGTAATGAACAAGTTAACACTGGCTGCTGAACAATAATCTACCATAAACCTCTGCATTTATCTTCTCTACCAAAGCCTTTTTACGCAACAAAAAGACCAGATCACAAATGAACAGTCAGATCAACACCCTGAAGATTTTTTGATTACTGATGCCTAAAATACTGAATCTGTTTTGGGCATCTTTCAGATCACATGGATAATGAGTGTGGGAACTGGCCAAAGTTCCTGAAGCAGAAGTAGGAGAATGGATGGATGTTGGATAACACCTTAGGGGAAAATTTTTAAAGCAGTAGTATGGTCTTGTTATGGTTAATAATGCTGCTTTTTAAAAATAAAATATTTTAACATTTTTAAAGCACAGTTTTATGCTGTACACAGGTGGTCTATTTTTCACTTGCTTCAGGACTCTAAAACCAGCAAAGTCCCATTAATTTTAATTAATGGGCAAAGGGAGAGAATGCCAGAAGTTGAAGAGTCTGGCTACATGACCTGGCAGTCACGTGAAGCCATGCCCTTGATAACATCATCGTGTGACAAAACGTGTAGGGCAGAGCTTGATGTGATGCAATCATGCACATTCGCCGCCATCTGGGGGACTGGGATCGAATCTAAGCTGCAGCTATGTATGAGATGCTGGTACCAAGATGTTTTTAATGTGAATGCACATTTTTTAAATAAAGTCTGCTCTATGAGATTTGTTTTATTTCCTTGTGTTTCTTTGCTCTATGTGTGGAGTCTCGTAAGAAGCTGCGAACAACCTCTCCTCTGAAATATTGGGATAGACCCCACGAGTGTCAAATATTGGGATAGATCCCACAAGCGCTTATGGCCAGAGGGCCATGGATCTCCAGTAAGCAATGTGTGTTTATCGTTCTCTGTCTCCACTGTATGGCATTGACTTCACAGTGTTTTTGCCTATATGAGAACTCATGTTTGTTTGACTTCTTAATCACCTTGAGATTGGTCACAAATTGAATTGTGTATGGGTAATCACTTTGTCTTTATTTACAGTCGCTTATATTTGTTGTGTGAAGCACAAGTAGTGCCGAGATTTTCTTTATTCACATTGATATTAATGTAAAGTATACCATGGATGCTGTATTTCAAAAAGATTTAGCACTGCACTATTTGGGTTGACATTTTGTAGTTTTTGTATTTGAAACTTTGGCCTCCAGGTCTGTAGTTCATTTACTGGAACAAATATAAATCTTTCATAAACCAGTCTGCACAATTTTACCAACCAAGAAGGAATATTCAGATTCTTGCATACGCCTTGATTCTCCAGAATCTGTCATCTTGCCCATTCAGGGCAAAGTGACAGTGCCTTTGTAAAGTCTAACCCCCCGCCAACCACTGAACCCCGCCTCCCCCTTCATGCAGAAGTTTTACTCTTCATTTGTGTGTCTATTCTCCATTGCAACTAGAGACGATACTCAGTGTTTTCCTTGTAGGGGAGCATGTGAAAACATCTTATATGACAGTATTGGGGTCTAGCAGCCAATCGATAGACCTGAATACTGTTACATGACAGGTGTAGTGATGCTAACACTCCTATTAGAATCAAACACCAGATGACACCCTGGATTTTAGTATCCAGTGCTTCAGAAGCAGG